TATTACTTTTGTTCTTTTTTTTTTTTTTTTTTTGAGAAGCAGATTGTCATACAACTCACACCAGAACCATAATCACGATAACCTGTGTTTACACAATAAAAGACCTATTCAGCAACTAATCCAGTCCTGATGAACTCAGGGATGGTTGAAATGACCAAAATCCTATATTACGACATGATTTTTTACCAAGGTAACAATATATATCATAATACAGTTATTTTTGTTGCAAGTAAGGTCTTTATGATATCAAAATGTTTGATACATATACATTTCATAATTGTTGTCACCAGTGTCAATAGCACAGAAAACTAATACTACCCTGAATGAAAAATATAAAATATATTCTTCACTGTGTAAGTTAAATATATATATATATATATAATTTAATCCTCTTATTAAAGTTTCAAAAGTTATTTAGTCAAAAGCAGTGAGATTTTCACTCTTTTGTTGTTTAAAACAGCTTTTGTTGACAGACAGCAGGAATATTAGACTGCTGTCACTTTAAGAGCTGCTCAGATCCAATATACTGCTACACATGTTTTCTTTCTCAGCTGTTTGCTTGCAAACTATACGTTTTCTTGACCATGTAGCACAGCAATGTCACATGAGTGTGTAACCATGATAAAATCTAACCATGATAAAATCTCTACCGATTGACAAATTTCTACCAGTTAATTGTGTCTACCGGTATATCATCCACACCTAGATGAACTCATGACTCAGGTTATCCAATCATAACAGAGGTCATTTACATACATAAGTCTTAAAGATACAGTGGCAACAACAGTTTGTTCAATTCTAATGGGTCAGGCAAAGGGTGGAAAACACTCATGAAAAATAAAATTTTGGTGTTCTTTGGAGACTTCATTTATGAAAAATATAATATATGCTACAAAGGTGTGGAATGAGGTATTTTTAGCATTAAAAACAAAGGTTCATCGAAGCAGTCGACTGAAATCTCTCAATTCCAGTTGCTCTGTCAAAGGGGGTTCCATTAAAATCAAGCCAAATCCCTTTGACACCACAGCGAAAAGTGATTTTCCAAGGAACACTACATGTTTTAAGAATATTCTTTTTTCACTCAGACAGAGGGGTGTATGTCCAAAATTCATTTTTGGTCTTTTCCTGATTGATTTAATGGTAGAGCTTGACATTTACAACTCAATGCTATAAAATCAGACCTGAAAGGTCAAAAGCCCCCTATCACATTGCCAAAGTAAACAAAGACCAACTCGCTCTTTCTCCACAGGCTGCCTTCCCCCTCTTTATTTCACAACTAAATAGGAACACTGTGCTCAGAAACCCTTGAAAAATGTCCTCTAAAAATGTAAAACTGGGTCTAATGGGGGTCAGCCCTGTAGTTAGCCCTAACATTAGCCATTTGCTAAGTCTGGCTTTACAGTGACCCAGTTACAGTCTGGAAATTAATCTAAAAATCTATGTGAGATGTCAATACTGGATTCCAGAAACAGTAGATGAAGTGGTAATAATGGCAAGTTCAAGACCTTTACCCAAGTAACAGCTACCTTCCCAACAAGCTACATCATAAGACTGAACTTTACAATTGTTCTGGTGATCGAATGAACCTATGAGTAAAATCACAGCATGAGAGGAACAAATGAGTGTAAGTGAGGGAAACTGAAAGATAGGGAGTGAGAGAGAGAAAAACCAAAGGCTATCAAGTGACGTTTTGGGGCTTAGCTCACATTAAGAGACGCATTAAGGCTGTTCTCTTGGGCTAAAGTGTAACAGTGGAGAACTAACTAAAAGAAAGCTGTCCGCAGCAGTCTTTAACCATGACCGACTGATCACACTAAATGCAGCAATAATCAAAAGTGAAGTACACTGAAAATCACACTCTGAACAATACTTAAATGCTAAGAGCACACATTACAGTAGCACATTGGATCTCTAATGTAATTGCCATGCCACTCTTCCTTTTGTATCTCTTACACACATTTTGGAGAGCATTTTTTTTTAAAGAAGAGTAGAATAACAGATCAGGTAATATGTGACTACATAATGTTACCTTGGTGAATTACACTCTTTTTTAGGAAAGGTTCACATTTATTGACTTTATAAAATGTGGTGTAACTATCAAGTAAAAGGTAAGTTCCTTATGTTTAATGCCTGTGAGGGTACACATTTTAAACAATATTTTTAAAACTGTTTTAAAGAAAAAAATATGGTAGAAAAGCACTTTTTTTTTAAATATAATTAATTATTAATTTATAAAGATAAGTATGTTTTGGTATGTATGACATTTTACAACCTGAAATAACCTGAACTAATGTCAAATATTTTTCTATTTTTAAAAGACGTACTGACCTTGACACAGATATTACCTGCTTTTTTCCCTGCAATGTTTCTGCATTATGCATGTTGCACCGCATTAATTTATTGGTAAATAAATAAATAAATATATATTTTTTTATTTTATTAATATATACTACAACTATTAATTACATTAATTTCAAAGATACAAGAGATTGCCCATAAAATGATGCTGTCAATTATTCCTACAATGCAAAATTGATGGATTTAGAATTTCAGAAATGATGGAATAATTGTGTGTTAATAATGTTTGTATAACCTGTCATAAGATCAAATCAAATGAAAGTCAGGAGATAGGAAAGCAGAGGAGAACAAGTGGGAGTCAGTAAAAGCTGGGCATTATGGAGTGTGCTTGTGACAATAAATGTCTGTCTTGTCTTTTTTTTTCTGAGACACACAAGCACGGATCATAAGTGTAGGCACCAGCCCTTTGGACGTTCATGTGTGTGTTCCCCAGTATGTCTGGCAATTCTACACCCTTTTTTTCTCTACCCCTCTCTGCATCACTCCATACATCTAGAAGTGACAACCCGTCCCTTCCTCTTTTCTCTCCCTCCATTTTCTCCGCCCCACCCCTCTTTTCTCTAGCTCCGTTCGGCCCTCCGCGTCAGCCCAAGAGCACACTCAGAGAACACACCGCTGGCTGATGAAATAATTATAACATCCAGGAGGAATACAGCAGCGGCCCCTCCCCGGGGAACCGTCGGCCCACAAGAGGATGCAAGTGTGTGTGTGAGTGTGTGTGTGTGTGTGTACAAACAGATGAAGAGGATTGAAGAAATGTGTGAGTGATGCATTCAGAAAGCATTATGAGTGAAAGACAGAAAAAGAGAAAGCAATAGACAGAGAGAGAGAGAGAGAGAGAGAGAGAGAGAGAGAGAGTGTGAATCAGACAAATCAAGTTTTTGTGTGTGATCAAGTGTGTGTTGTTATATATATAATTCTCTTGTAAAATTATCTTTAAGAATGTAAGAAAATCACTATAAATATTAGAAATAAAAAAAGAATACTGAACTGAATTTCTTATGGCAAAATTTAAAAAAAGAAAATCAATTTATTTATGTTTAAAAAATTTAGAATACTACAAGACATGACATTTATAATCAGTTTGACCAGAAATGTGAAGCAGTATATTATGAAGATATTATGAAATAATAGCTATAAAAGAAAAGAAAAGAAAAGAAAAGAAAAGAACAATGTTTTCTTTAAATTGATCTAGTAATCTTTTTCAAAATGATAACAAATAAATATATTTATTTATTTATTTATTTATTTGTGTGTTTATTTGTTTATTTATTTATTTATTTTAAATAAATAAATAAATTAATAAATTAATTCTTATAAAAATGTACTTTAGGGACTTTTCATTGAAAATATATTTTTATAACGCATAAACAGAAAGAATATTATTTTCTATATTCAATCAAAATGCAACTGATAAGTTGGGGAGGTTTGAAATTAAATGCTTGTACAGTAATAAAGCAATTCATGAATCCACAACAACAGCTCAAGCATTCTCAGCACGCACACCTGTACACTAATGCTGAAATTAATTGCTTGTTGAAGCACTCATGCTCTCTCACTCCCTCTCTCTTTCATTCTCTCCATCTCCTCGAGAAAAAAAACCCGGCTCAGTTCATAAATGGAGAGCGGCTATAAAGCACATGTCCATGTGCTTGCACTTTCTACTTGTCCACCTGCTCAAACTCATTGCAGCACGCATGTTACGCTAAACAAACATGCTTTGACATGTTCCACAGTCAAGGAGCAATCCATATCCCAAGTATGTATAAACAATCAGACAGCAGCCTTTGTAGAGTTTGGCAGGTGAGCTCAGAGGACGGAGAAAGAATTCCTGGCGTTAAGACGGGTGTGTTGCAACTGACATCTATGGGTCAAAACCCACTGCACCCACACACACACACACACACACACACATAGAGAAAAAGCTTTAAAAGTACTCACACTTCTTTCCAATCCATCATCTAACGTATTCACAATTCATAGCCAGAACGAGGCAGGCGGGACGCAAAAAAACGGTACTGTCTGTGTGTCCATACCCACATTTTGCCATCAA